GTTTCCCAATAAGACCGCGTTCACTAGTACCCAGGTCGACTCCTTAGCATGTTTTCTTAGGGGGATGGGGCTAGTTCAGCCCATAGCAGGGGCTCAGCTAAAACTGTATTATCAAGTTTGTACCATGTTATAACAACTCTTTCTGGTAGCTTTGAATCATCAAGGGATGCATATTCAGACTAAACCTCACCCCCCCAAAAAATCCACCACCCCCCCTCAAAAACGAGAATCTTGCAAAATATGGATCAAATGTAGCCTAACATCGCTTTTCGATAGGAGAGGTCTCAATACAAGGCAGCTCTTGTGCGTCCCTCAGGAAGCCGTGGGAGCCAGGACCACCCCCTGCCACACACACACTCACGCACACGCTCACACTCGCACACATACACTCAGACACACATACACTCACATACTCACGCACACCCACACTCCCCTTCCCCAGTGTCCAGGTAGAGACGACTTGCACCTTCCACACACCACCAGCTATCTTTCCAAAGTGTGAACCTGCTCTTGTGGCTGGTCCTTGAACACTGTGTGACTCCCTGTTGCCTTGAGGATGTGAAGTCCACACCTGTCACTCTGCTTTGCATTCCAGATCCTTAAAAATGTCTTGGCAGGTGCTCTTCTGAGCTCTGCCCTATCCTCCCTGCCTTCTCATGACCGCCTCTCCCCATTGGGTTGTTCACTCGTGGATCCACACACTTGGTGAACGCCCGTTGAGTGTCAGCCATCCGCTGGCCACGGGAAGGTAAATAAAGCACAGTATCTCGCACTTCCAGAGTATTCCGGGGACCCATGGAGTTGGCCCATCGTCATAGACTGTGAGCGGGCAGTGCAATGTGGGGGGCTCCCCCAGGTGTCGGGGTGCCAGGCTGGGCTGTGGGGTCCTGTGATTCACTAATTGTCATTAAGCCTCATGGTGTAATCAGAGTTACCCAAGAGACTTTCCAGAGTGCACCTACCCCACCCGCCCTCTCTCTGTGTGATGTCACGTAGCTTTGCTGGCAGATCTTCCTCAGTGCCAAAGGTAGAGACCACGGAAGCAAAAACAGAATACAGGCGCAGGTCGCCAGTCAGACACGATCCTCCACTCCAGCGCTCGTTAGCTTTGGTATTTCATGGTGACAAGAACTCCACTTCCAATTTCTTTCTTTTCTTAACTCACTAAGCCACAAATTCAGAGCTTCATAGATAATTTGATAATTAATTTATTCTTAATTAATAGCATGGCTTAATGATCACTGTACTGTAATTTAACACTGAGTTGAGACATTAAGGGATCTTTTATATGTTACTGGGAGATTGACGATTTGAGCTAGTTTCATTATTGATGGAGGTTCTCCGGGTAAAACCCCCACGGTTCTCACGGAGGAGCTTTCCAAAGAGGGTTCGGTGAACGCGACCTTTTGTTGGCGGTGTTGAAGATAACGCATGCCATGATCTCTACTTCATAACTATTCGTTTAAAATGTTCTTGTGAAGTAACATCTGTATTTCATCTTGTGTCAGGTGACTTTTACACGTGTGTCTGTTATAAATACTTGAAATGTTATTTTATTAGCTTTACCATTAGTACTTAATTCTCATCTAACATTGCGTACTCAGAGTTGTCCCCTCTCTCTAGTTATCGGTCTCAACCTGCAGCTTTTCCCAGTTGAGGGAGAAGCGTCCACTCCCTCAAACATTGCCTGGTTTGCCCCAGGTCTCCACTTAGCATCTAACCCCAGCTCCCTGCTGTCTGTCTGTCAGATCTGCATGCTTCGTCCAGCACCATTCATAGCGGACTGTCCCCGCTTTCCCCACTTGAGCCATCTGGTCCACGACGTAGCTTGTCTGCGAGCGTGCCTCTCTAGGAGAAAGTGTCCTGCCGATGCAGTGGTGCTAGCGTAGCTGCCTTAGTCTCGGTTCTCTAGAGAAGCAAAACCATGAGGCCTGTATGTATGTATATGTGTGCGTATATATAGAGAGAGAGGGAGGGAAATTTACTTTAAGGAGATGGCTCATGCAGTTGTGGGAACTGGCAAGTCTCAAATCCCTAGGTCAGGTGGCAGGCTGAAGATCTCTGCTGGCTCACGGCATTGCGGGGTCTGGTGAATCCAGAATCTTCAGGTCAGGTGGCAGGCCAGAGACTTCTGCAGGCTTATGTCCCAGGAACCAGAGGTCAGGTGTTAAGAAGAGTACAGGGTCAGAGGGCTGGAAGAGAGAACAAGCTTTGTCAGAACATCCATTTATATACTAGATGCAGGCCACACCCCCAAGGAAACTCCCCTTTCAACTGATCGGCTGATCACATCAGATCACATCATGGAAGATGATTACATTATATTACATTATTCAGGAGCACGTAGTCTAATGTCTGCCAAACCATGAGAATTGTAGGCCGGCCAAGTTGACACATAACATTAGCCATTATAGTAGTTGAAGTTGATATTGTAAAGAGCATGATAATGTTGAAAATTAAAATATTTTTATAAATCATTTCCTTCATTTGTGTATGGGGATAGGAAGAACATAAAAATTATGAGGAAATAGGACAAATCTGAATAAATGTTGTAGTAAGCAAAACTGTTAGTCGTCATTAGATAATGTGAGTGCACTTTTTTAACTGCTGGGGTAATTAAGTGGACAGATGAAGTTTAGTATTAACTTGGAGCTTGTGTTTTGTGTAATCCTGTCCGGTAGTTCAATGAGAGTCTTTACGGTAAAAATCTCTTTACTTGTGAACTCTCTCTTTCTAGCCTCCAAGTAGGAAGGGTAGAACATTCAGTTGCATTTGGGTTTCATAAAATGAGGTTCTTAATAAGATATTTGATTTGTCTTAGGAAGTTTCTCAACTCTCTCCTTAGCTCAGAAAGCAGAGTTATAGAAAACATTTATATAGTTCTCCCAGCTTCCTAGGCCTGTTTCCTTCTGTCACTTACACATTTTCTGTGCATTTAGAGATTAAAGTCAGCACGCTCATCCAGCTGAATCCTAACTCTGAGGCTGGCAGTGAAATGAAAATGGTGTATGGTTGATAATCAAAAATGCCTTTTTGCTATCCGCCACCCCCCCCAAAAAAAAAAAAGAAATTGGCGATCACTTAAACAATCATGATTTTAAGTTAACTTAGTTTTGGTCTGGAATTTCTGTACACATATAAAAAACCTGTTGCCAGCAAGTCAGTTCTGACTCATAGTGACCCTATAGGACAGAGTAGAACTGCCTTGCAGGGTTTTCAAGGAGCAGCTGGTGGATTCGAACTGCCGACCTTTTGGTTAGCAGCTGAGCTCTTAACCACAGCGCCACCAGGGCTCCAAACACATATAGGACACGTATATTTTTCAGTTGCTAGAATCTGATCTTAGATTTTATTTTTGAATTCACATAATGACTTTTAAAATATTCTAATATATGTCTTCAAAGATCCCAAATCGATACGCCAATGGTTGTGAAATGACAGAGTGCTGCATATTCCTCTGTAATTTAAACGTGATTAGCTGATGAAGGTTAGGATCAGTACGGCACAGGAAGATGAATTAATTGATATCATCCTTTCAGGATGATAAGAGGCCGATTGGAGGTGGGTCATAACTAATGAAGCTGCTGCTTGGTTTCCGTGAGCCGTTTTTTATATATTGCATTTTCACTTCATCAGATCTGTGCTATCATTCATTTACATGAAAACCATAGGCTGTGGCCATTTGAGCTCCTTATTCAAATTGTATTTGCAGAGACTGTTTGCGTCCTGCTATGTCATCACCTGTGGGTCGGAAGATGATGTGTTCTTTGGCACGGGCAAAAAGAGCAGCTCTCAGGACAAAGGCGAGGATTGAATATTATGGAACTTAACTGCAGCAAGTCCCCAAAGACACACATCTGTCCAAATAAAAACTGGCCTCTTACTCTTCTACAGTGACCCCTGTTGGTGTAGGAAGAGTTTGCTAATTGTCAGTTTCCTTTCCAATTAAATTCACTCTGCTTTATCAGCGAGCCTGTTTGCCAAGAGAAGTTATGGCTGGTTGCATTTAGATTTGTATTGATTAAGATTAATTTCCAATGTGATGGTAATATATTTAAATAAAAAAAAAGAAAAGGTCTTTGATATAATTCCATGTCCTTGAATATAATTCCATGCACTAGCTGGTAAAGTGAAGAGTTATTCTTTAGGCTTTGCAAAAAAAAGAAAAGCTTTTTGACTTTCAAAGGGGGTTGGTTAAATTACCTTGTATTACTTAGGATTGCTTTTGCTGCAAGTAACTAGGAAAAAAGTAACCTGATTAGAATAACTTAAACAAAATAGATGTGTATTTCCATTTTGTGTTGGAGGCTTCTAGGGTGGTCCATGCAGGCCTGCTGAAGTCTTCTATGGCTCCTTCCATCTTGTGCCCCCATATGTGGCTTCTATTCCCAAGGTCACCCTGGGGTTCAGGATGACTTCTGGATCCAAGATGGCAGCATATGGGCATGCCAGACAGCAAGAACAAAAAAGACAAAAGGGGGAAATGGGCAAAGAGCAGCTCTCCCAAGGTGGAGTCCTGGCAGCTGCCACAGAAACTCCTCTGCTTCCACCCTCTTGGCCAGAGCTTGCTCACGTGGCCTTGGCCACATTTAGCTTCACATGGGAGGGGTCCAGGCTCTGGGAAATCACGTGCCCAGGTAGCATCCACAAACCCTGTTCCTGTGGAAAAAGGGAAGACCCCTGGGTAGCACAAATGGTTTCTGCTCAACTACTAACCAAAAGTTTGGTGGTTCAAACTTACTGAGCAGCTCTGCAGAAGAAAGCCCTGGTGATCTGCTTCCATAAAGATCACAGCCACGAAAACCCTCTAGAGCTCAGTTCTACTCTGTAGCACATGGGGTCGCCATGAGTCGGCATTGGCTCAACAACAGTGGGTTTGGGTTTTGTTTTCCCTCGGAAAAGGGGAATCGCAGATTTCTGGGGCAGCCAACGGGCCCTGCCCTGTTCCCTGTCCTTGGCACCAGCTTCGCCTTCATGTCTCTTGTCCTTGTGCCCACTAGTTGCCCAGAAGATTGTCACCACAAGAAAGAAGCAGCAGCTCTCCATCGGACCCTGCAAATCCCTACCCAACTCTCCCAGCCACTCCTCCGTCTGCTCTGCCCAGATGTCTGCCGTGCACATCAGCCAGGTACATTGGGCGGC